CATTAGTGTATATTCAATGTGGAGATATCCATCATTATTGTATATTCAATGTGGAGATATCCATCATTATTGTATATTCAATGTGAGATATCCATCATTAGTGTATATATTCAATGTGAGATATCCATCATTAGTGTATATTCAATGTGAGATATCAATCATTAGTGTATATTCAGAGAACTGATCACAGCTGACTCACTGGTGAAGTGAATTGTAGGTACTGATACTTCTGTTCCGGCCCGGAGACAGACCGACATATTGATGAGACAATATTATGAGCAATCAGACACAGCCATTAGGCAGATAAGTACTCTCGTGAGTGGTAGCTGTAAAAACGAAATTCCAATCTTGAAAGGGCTATTTTTGAAAACTATTTTTTCAATGTAATGATCTCAAAGGTCGTTTTGTTCGGCTGTGCATGCATTGTCCGGCTATCCTTGTGTATTTTATCACATGTGAACGTCTGTTTTATATAAGTTCGGCTTCAGGGATCACCTCCTGAGTGAAGTGAGAAGTGTCTTAGCAGTGGGTGGATGATCAGTGGATCGATCCTCGGCCGAGTCATACCAGGAGAGGTTACAGATGGTGCATTGCTACCCAGCTGCTACTCAGCGACGCAGGTGGCAGACCGGTTGAATTGATCTTCAGCAACCCATACGGCTTTAGCTTCGGACCATTAATACCCCTGTTTTGTGCGTGACATATCGTCATCCATTTGTGTCAAGATATGGTTTAGTTGAGGGTCAAAATCGGATTTCAATCGACTTTGCAGAAATAACAATAAAGAATTGGTAGGTTTCATGATCGGCGATCGATAGGCCAATCATCCATGATTAATACGTTCACCTTAAGTTTTAATCGATTACATGCGATGGTAGCGTAGCGGATCGGCAGCTAGCATGCGGGTGGGGTATACCGAAGTGTATACGCCGGACTTGTTTCATAATGTATTGTTATCGTGTAGCATTTCGAGTCGGGGTTATCTCAAAATATTTTTAAATCTTTAATCCTCCTGCATTTTACGAGGTACCAATGGTCATCATCTACCATTCATCCACAAGATGCCTACCTGTAACCTGCGCCCCATCAGCAACCATCATGCATTCCTGTCCAATCGACCTACAGGCGCCTGTACAGCATCCATCCATCATGCACCAATCGACCATCCGTACACCATCCATCCATCCATCCATCCATCATGCCAATCGACCTACAGGCATACCATGCCCAACATCCATCCATGATGAACCATCCGATTCCTCCTGTACACCATCCATCCATCCATCCATCCATACCATGAACCAATCGGCCTTCCATGTACTTCATCCCCGTCCATCCATCCATGATGAACCAATCGACCACTCCCGTACACCATCCGTCCATCCATCCATCCATCATGCACTGAATCGACCACTACAGGCATACCATATGCAACATCCATCCATGATGAACCAATCGACTCCTCCCGTACACCATCCGTCCATCCATCCATGATGAACCAATCGACCCTTCCGTACACCATCCGTCCATCCATCCGCGATGTGGACTAATCGACCCTCCGTACACCATCCGACATCCATCCATCCATCATGCACCACCGACCTGGGCATCCTGTGCAACATCCATCCATCCATCATGCACCAATCGACCCTCCTGTACACCGTCAAATCCCGTCCATCCATCATGAACCAATCGACCCTTTCCTGTATGTACCATCCGTCATCCATCCGCGATGAACCGATGCAGGCCACCGACCCTTCCGTCATCAATCATCCATCATGCCAATCCATCTGGGCATACCATGCAACATCCATCCATGATGAACCAATCGACCCTCCGTACACCCATCCGTCCATCCATCCATGATGAACCAATCGACCCTTCCGTACACCATCCGTCCATCCATCCATGATATGAACCAATCGACCCCAACCGTACACCATCCGTCCATCCATCCATCCATCCTTGCACCAGGAAATCGACCTACAGGCATACCATGCAACATCCATCCATGATGAACCAATCGACCCTCCGTACACCATCCGTCCATCCATCCATGATGAACCAATCGACCCTCCTGTACACCATCCGTCCGTCCATCCATCCATCATGCACCATTCGACCCTCCCAGGTATATCATGCATCACATCCATCCATGATGAACCAATCGACCCTCCGTACACCATCCATCCATCCATCATTCGATCTGCAGGTATACCGTACAACATCCACACACCATCCATCATGCACCAATCAGACCCTCCGCATACGTCATCCGTCCATCCATCCATCATGCACTAATCGACCTCTTTCAGTGCACCTTAATCTCGTTCATCCATCATGCACAATCGGCCTCCTACACACCATCACCTGTCCATCCATCCATCATGCACAATCGACCCTCCCGCACACTATCCGTCCAGTCATCCATCCATCCATCATGCCAAATGATCCCGACACACACCATCCATCCATACATCCATCCATCCATACATACATACATACCGCAACCACCCTTCAACCATCAGTGCATTAATTCAATCACGTTTGAAGTATATTTTGATATCTGTCCTGATTACATGTCTGCTTCCTGTCTGGCAGTCAATCCCGCCACCTTACAGTCTGTCCAACCAGCTGTATTTAACTCTACATTCATCTCCTCGCATTGTGTTCTGTTATCAACAATATCCAAAGCACGATGTACCGGTATCCATCATTAGTGTATGTTCAATGTGGAGATATTCATCATTAGTGTATATTCAATGTGGAGGTATCCATCATTAGTGTATGTTCAATGTGGAGATATTCATCATTAGTGTATATTCAATGTCGAGGTATCCATCATTAGTGTATGTTCAATGTTCAGGAGATATTCATCATTATCATTCAATGTGGAGGTATCCATCATTATTGTATATTCAATGTGGATATTCATCATTAGTGTATATTCAATGTGGAGGTATCCATCATTATGTATGTTCAATGTGGAGTATATTCATCATTAGTGTATATTCAATGTGGAGGTATCCATCATTAGTGTATGTTCAATGTGGAGATATTCATCATTAGTGTATATTCAATGTGGAGGTATCCATCATTATTGTATGTTCAATGTGGAGATATTCATCATTAGTGTATATTCAATGTGGAGGTATCCATCATTAGTGTATATTCAATGTGGAGATATTCATCATTAGTGTATATTCAATGTGGAGGTATCCATCATTAGTGTATATTCAATGTGGAGATATTCATCATTAGTGTATATTCAATGTGGAGGTATCCATCATTAGTGTATATTCAATGTGGAGGTATCCATCATTAGTGTATGTTCAATGTGGAGATATCCATCATTATTTCAATGTGGATATTCAATGTGGAGATATCCATCGTTAGTGTATATTCAATGTGGAGATATCCATCATTATTGTATGTTCAATATATTCATCATTAGTATATATTCAATGTGGAAGAATCCATCGTTAGTGTATATTCAATGTGGAAGTATCCATCATTATTGTATGTTCAATGTGGAGGTATCCATCCTTAGTGTATATTCAATGTGGAGATATCCATCCTTAGTGTATATTCAATGTGGAGATATCCACCCTTAGTATACATTCTCTATGGAAGAATCCATCGTTAGTCTATATTCATTGTGGAGGTATCCCTATATTAGCATAAATGCAATGGTATAAACACCATTACAATCACATTTACATCTTTATCGTAAAGTCGAAGTTGTGCAATTGGATCTGCTTTTAGCAAGCATTTCTCAAGGATGTACAAAAGTATTGCCGCGTATTATTTACAACAACGGAGTGGATGCACGTATATATCAACGTTTAAAACCATTGCCACAGGCCATTGTTGAGTACAACCCATTCACACACAGTTGAATATTCATCCAATGGTAATTATTCAACTTTATTGTAAACTTTAATTGTCAATAATTGTGAATTGATAAGGGGGAGACTGACTATGGTAAAGAGATAGTCCAAGGACTCACCGTTCGTACAGTCATGTTGAAAACGTCATGGTGTCAGATGTGACTTGTATAGAGAACTGATCACAGCTGACTCAATCAGAAGTAATTGTAGGTACTGATATTTCCTGTTCCGGCCCCGGAGACAGACCGACATATTGATGAGACAATATTATGAGCAATCAGACACAGCCATTAGGCAGATAAGTAGCACTTCGTGAGTAGCTGTAAAAACGAAATTTCCAATCTTGAAAGGGCTATTTTTGAAAACTATTTTTCATGTAATGATCTCAAGGTCGTTTTGTTTGGCTGTGCATGCATTGTCCAGCTATCCGTGTGTATTTTATCACAGTGAACGTCTGTTTTATGTCAGTTCTTCAGGGATCACCTCCATAGTCCATCCATCAAGTGTCTGCCCAGTGGGTGGATGATCAGTAGTTCGATCCTCGGCCGAGTCATACCAGGAGAGATTACAGATGGTGCACGTTGCTACCCAGCTGCTACTCAGCGACCTGTGAAGATCCGGGTTAGAATTGATCTTCAGCAACCCATGCTTGCTTGCTTCGACCACTACCCCGTTTTGTGCGGACATATCGTCATCCATTTGTGTCAAGATCGTTTAGTTGAGGGTCAAAATCGGATTTCAATCGACTTGCAGAAATAACAATAAAGAATTGGTAGGTTTCATGATTGGCGATCGATAGGCCAATCATCCATGATTACGTTCACCTTAAGTTTTAATCGATTACATGAGATGGTAGCGTAGCGATCGGCAAAGCAAGCGGGTGGGGTATACCGAAGTGTATACCGGACTTGTCATAATGTATTGTACTGTTTAGCATTTCGAGTCGGGGGTTATCTCAAAAATATTTTTTTAAATCTTTAATCCTCGCAAAGACACGAGGGCCTGTGGTCATCATCTACCAATCATCCACAAGATGCCTACCCACAACCCGTGCACCCATCAACCAGCCATGCACCAATCGACCTACAGGCATACCATGCAACATCCATCATGCACCAATCGACCCTCCCACACACCATCCGTCCATCCATCCATCATGCACCAATCGACCTACAGGCATACCATGCAACATCCATCCATCATGCACCAATCGACCCTCCCACACACCATCCGTCCATCCATCCATCATGCACCAATCGACCTACAGGCATACCATGCAACATCCATCCATCATGCACCAATCGACCCCCCACACCATCCGTCCATCCATCCATCATGCACCAATCGACCTACAGGCATACCATGCAACATCCATCCATCATGCACCAATCGACCCTCCCACACACCATCCGTCCATCCATCCATCATGCACCAATCGACCTACAGGCATACCATGCAACATCCATCCATCATGCACCAATCGACCCTCCCACACACCATCCGTCCATCCATCCATCATGCACCAATCGACCTACACGCATACCATGCAACATCCATCCATCATGCACCAATCGACCCTCCATCCATCCGTCCATCCATCCATCATGCACCAATCGACCTACACCATACCATGCAACATCCATCCATCATGCACCAATCGACCCTCCACACACCATCCGTCCATCCATCCATCATGCACCAATCGACCCTACACCAATCGACCCTTCCTGGGCATACCATGCAACATCCATCCATCATGCACCAATCGACCCTCCACACATCCATCCATCCATCCATCCATCCAAATCGACCTACACGCATACCATGCAACATCCATCCATCATGCACCAATCGACCCTCCCACACACCATCCGTCCATCCATCCATCATGCACCAATCGACCTACAGGCATACCATGCAACATCCATCCATCATGCACCAATCGACCCTCCCACACACCATCCGTTCATCCATCCATCCATCATGCACCAATCGACCTACAGGCATACCATGCAACATCCATCCATCATGCACCAATCGACCCTCCCACACACCATCCGTCCATCCACCACATCCATCCACCATGCACCAATCGACCTACAGGCATACCATGCAACATCCATCCATCATGCACCAATCGACCCTCCCGTACACCGTCCATACATCCATCTATCATGCACCAATCGACCCTCCGTACATCATCTATCCATCCATCCATCCATGCATCATGCACCATTCGACCTACAGGCATACCATGCAACATCCATCCATCATGCACCAATCGACCCTCCCGTACACCATCCATCCATCCATCCATCCATGCATCATGCACCAGTCAACCTATAGGCATACCATGCAACATCCATCCATGATGAACCAATCGACCCTCCCACACACCATCCGTCCATCCATCCATGCATCATGCACCGAATCGACCTACGGGCATACCATGCAACATCCATCCATCATGCACCAATCGACCCTCCCGTACACCATCCATCCATCCATCCATCCATGCATCATGCACCAGTCAACCTACAGGCATACCATGCAACATCCATCCATGATGAACCAATCGACCCTCCCACACACCATCCGTCCATCCATCCATGCATCATGCACCGAATCGACCTACAGGCATACCATGCGACATCCATCCATGATGAACCAATCGACCCTCCCACACACCATCCATCCATCCATCCATCATGCACCATTCGACCCTCCCACACACACCATCCATCCATCCATCCATCATGCACCATTCGACCCTCCCACACACACCATCCGTCGATCCATTATGCACCAATCGACCCTTCCGTACACCATCCGTTCATCCATCATGCACCAATCGACCCTCCCACACACCACCCGTCCATCCATCCATCATGCACCAATCGACCCTTCCGTACACCATCCGTTCATCCATCATGCACCAATCGACCCTCCCACACACCACCCGTCCATCCATCCATCATGCACCAATCGACCCTTCCGTACACCATCCGTTCATCCATCATGCACCAATCGACCCTCCCACACACCATCCGTCCAGTCATCCATCCATCCATCCATCCATCATGCACCAAATGACCCTGACACACACATCCATCCATCCATACATACATACATACATCCATACATACATACACCACCAACCACCCTTCAACCATCAGTGCATTAATTCAATCACGTTTGAAGTATATTTTGATATCTGTCCCTGATTACATGTCTGCTTCCCTGTCTGGCAGTCAATCCCACCACCTTACAGTCTGTCCAACCAGCTGTATTTAACTCTACATTCATCTCCTCGCATTGTGTTCTGTTATCAACAATATCCAAACACGACCTTGTACCAACCCTCACATAATTCACTTTCCCTACAAATATGAAAAGGGCTAATGGAGCATAGCAACCCTTCAGAAGACAGAGCCACGTCTTAGTTATTGAAATAACCCTCATTAAGGATCCAATTCCTCTACACCAGCCTCAAGACAGTCAAAACACACAATGATCATCCGCTAGGCCAATCGTGGTCAATTACTGGAAGAGATATCTCAACAACCGCTACACAGCTGATTTGTCAAGCTTGATGGCAATTGCAGGATAGAGACATATAATTGCATACAAAGCAAACAGAGCGATCGAGTCTCCTCCATCTCAATTGTCAAGGCAGAGATGACCTCTTACGGAAAGGACGTTGACGTCACCTGCCGTCTCATGCAACGTTTCATGCGGCGTTGATTGGTAGAAATTGGTAGAAATTGGTAGAAATAACTGTAAGTGTTTATCATCCCTAGAGAACAAATATCACTTAACAAAGTCCAGTGGTCTGTTGCCTCGAAGGGAAAATGGATATTTCTGTCTGGATGAATTCATCAATGGTTTGCATGGCGCTGAGTGGATTTACTATACAAATGGTTCCTTGTCTTAGACAATTATTGCGTTTAGGCAGCGAAAGGAAATAGCTTGGATGGAAATAAAGCGGCTGATTGCACAGATATGATTGATATCAAAACGTTGCGAGCCTATTTTCGATGTTTGGCAAACACGAGTTGGATTGTATTAAATGACCTTTACGATAGCGAAATGAACTGTTCTGCATCCATTGGCAGGGTGTTGATACATTTGCTATCGGCCCTTGTCAAGGATTTCACGCAAATTGAACGTCCAAATGAAGAAATGAGAACGTCGTGTTTTGAACTCACTAGATACCTGTAGGGCAGCATGTTTATATTTCCTGCCGTAGGACTCGAAACCAACAGGGGCTGTTCTATTAGAAGGATGAAATGTTGCAGCTACTTAACGTGAAACATCTTCCTATAGTAATAAGGGCAACCATTGAAAGTATGTATTGATTGTACACATAATAAAAATTGCGTTAGACACAGAAAGTGGTGTTTGAACAACTTCGATGCCAGTACTGCAAATTTGTAGAGCCAGTTCCCCTTCAATAGTGATCGGAAGGTCGCAAATGGCCTTTAAAGTTTGAGGGATGTTTACAATACATAAGTGTTGCACTTCCAGTACAATATGCACCTTCTAAAGATAACCTTCTAGTGATAAGGGCGCCATTTGTTTAGTGTGTCGGTACTAATACTGATACGGAGCTAGGTTTCGAACACGGGTCTTCACGGTGATGAACGAACGCCTTAACCGCTTGGCTACCCCTCCGTCCCTATATCTTTAAGAATAGTACCATATAGCTTAAAGAACAGTCTTGTCTGAGAATGCATTGTGGGCTTTACATTGCGCGCCTTTCTGATTGTGCCTCGACGAGCTGTCGTGGTTCAGCTAGTTGTAAATGTTAAGGCGGTAAGTAGCAATGTAAGTTTAGAACTGACGTCAACAGTTTGCGCTTGTAGAGGTGTAGACGTTAACATCGATCAACGCACTGAGTAAATAGTAAATATGCGTAAAATGAATAAATTACTCTTTGAACGCAATAACACATTCAATAAATTCTTGTAAAAAAAAACATACATAACTTCACAGGATGTTATTTAATCGTTAAACAAAAAATAATTATATACATTAATACGAAATCGGTGGATATGTCCAGCAAATAGTGGGACCCAAGCACCACCCAGTCTGTGTTAAGCTGATGATGCTATAAGTAGCGTAATCTACTTTGTGTGGGCTTGAGGAAACATACACGCTTGGTTAGCCAATCAAAAGTCACGGAAGCATTGGTAGTTGTTCTATATGTACATGACTTTTTCCTTTAACTGTGCAAAGCACACATAGATTGAAAGAGGTTCACCATTCACTGCATTGTTAGATTCCAAATATCATCCAGCTTAATTGTGCCGCCCATTGTGTTTTCAGTAAATGATTTATTAACCGAACATCCATCATCCATTAATAAATCTTCCATCTATCTCATTACAAATTATCCGTGTATCCACCATCAATTCATCCATCCAACGTACAAAATAACCATCCTCCCATCCATCCACCATGTTTCAATCTATCTGCCCACCTATCCACCAACTATCCACCCTCCTACCAACCACCATCCATCATTCGTTCACAGCCAGGAACCATCCATCCATTAGCTGACAATCCATCCTCCCACCAAACAACATCCTTCCATCTCTCATCCATTTACCAACCATCACCCATCCACTAACATCCATCAATCAATTAACCACTCATCTGCGTTCCATCAGTCCATCTACCCGTGAAGATCCGGGGTAGAATTGATCTTCAGCAACCCATGCTTGTTGTAAGAGGCGACTAACGGGATCGGGTGGTCAGGCTCGCTGACTTGGTTGACACATGTCATCGTACCCCAATGGCGTAACTCACTCACTCCACCAGTCCATATCAACACATCACCATACATCTATCAATCCACCATCAACCATCAATCCATGAACCATAAACCCTCCACTCTCAACCATCCATGCATCTAGGCACTTCCTAATTTCATCCATCCACTCACAAGACATCCATCCATCAGAGCTAGCCAACCACCATTCCTAAACCTAATATCAATTCATCCACAACCATGCTTCCACCAACCATCACTCCATCTACCAACACCCAATCCACACGCCGCCATTTATCCATCATGCTATACCCATCAACCATCCATCCATCATGTAAATACCATCCATTACTATTAATTTCTCCATTTATCAATATTTTATTCGTTCAGCTTTGTATCAGCTTTGTAGCCTTTGACCTCTCTATCCTTCCAGTAGCGTTCAGGTCACTGGTCCATCGTGGATGTAGTCGTGACCACATCAATGACGGCGTTTGATCCAAGGACGCTGCGCACAGTTAGCCCTACCTTGACCACACGCGTTCTCCTGGACGAGGAATGACGTTACGACCAAAGGTTACGCGGAATGTAAAGGCTGTAAGCTGAGGCGAAGGATGAAACGTATTCTGGGGGCCAAAGCCTCAGTGTGAAAGGTTAGCCTTGCATGAAGCCTCGTCTATTTAGACATAACACCCCTCGTCTCTTCTTGTTACTGTGAAGCCTTAACCTATGTGGACTGCTGTTTAGCCTTAGACAGATACTGACAGCGGGACATTAAGAGACCTCGTGTTTATCGAAGCGAAGTTGGGGTCAGCGTTGGGGGTAGGCGGTAGGTGGGCCGAGGGGCTAGATGGAGAGTGATGTGGGGAGGGAAGAAGTTGGGGTGGGTGTAGTGGTCTGGTTAGGATAGAAGCTGAATAGCTGTACAGTGGGTGGAATCGTGAGAAGATGCTTTGGCGGATAGATGGGTAGGGTAGAATTCTATATAGATAGGTCGTTAGGTGGACATAGGGATGGGTTGGATGGCAGCAAAGAGAATGGAGGGAAGGATGGTTAGGCGAAGGGATAGAATCATTTCAAGCGGGTGTTAGATGGACATGTGAGTGGGTAGGAGGGTGGTTTCTGTGTTTGATGGGTAGGTGGGCAGGGAGTGGGGGTAGAATGAAACATCGTGAGTGTACCGTTATGAAGAATGTCATGGTAAATAGATGGATAAATATAGGTAAATATAAAATGGAGTGGTGGGTGTGTTAGACAGACAGACAGATAGATAGATATGCGGGTGGGTAGGTAGGTAGTTATGAAGGTAGGTAGGCTGTTAGGTAGGTAGCACTGATTAGATAGCTGGTTCAATGGGTAAATGGACCCACAGTGGAATAGAAGCATTTAGTATGTTTAAAACCCGAGAAGGTCCGGGTTAGAATATTGATCTTCAGTAACCCATGCTTGGCGTAAGAGGCGACTAACCGGATCAGGTGGTCAGGCTCGCTGACTTGGTTGACACATGCCTTGGTTCCCAATTGCGCAGATCGATGCTCATGTTGTTGATCACTGGATTGTCTGGTCGAGACCGTCT